TCATTATTTAATGATAAAAGGGCCAATTCATAAATAGGATATAACACTAGTGAGTATAAATGCGTCCAGCAACAAAGCACTTAAATGTATAAGGCCAAAGGAAGACAGCAAGAGAGGAACAAAGGAACTACAAAACACTCAGAAAACAATTAACAAAATGGCAATAGTAAATACTTACCTATCTATAATTACTTTAAATATATAAGGCAAAGATAAACAGAACTGAAGGGAGAAATAGACGGCAGTACAGTAATAGTAGAGAACCTCATTAATCCACTTTCAACAATAGAATCATTCAGAAACAGAATCAAGGAAACAGTAGACTTGAATAACACTGTGACCAAAGGGACCTAGCAGATATATACAGAACATTCCATCCCCAAACAGCAGAATATGTTGTTCTTTTCCCAGTATAAATCATATGTTGAGCCACAAAACATGTCTTAACAAATGTAAAAAGATTGGAAGTATATTAAGTATCTTTCCTAACCACATGGTATGAAACTAGAATAACCAATGGATGAAAAAAGAAATCAAAAAGGTGGAGTAAAAATACCTTTATATAAAGGAAACATAACAAAACTTATTGTTCTAAGAGAGAAGTTTATTGCAATAAATGCCTACATTAAGGAAAAAAAGAGAAAGATCTCAATTAAACAACCTACCTTTATACCTTAAGGAACTAGGAAAAGAACAAATTAAGCCCAAAGTTAGCAGAAGGAAGGAATGAGAGTAAAAATAAATAAAATGGAGAATAGAAAAACAATAAGAAAAATTAATGAAACTAAGAATTGGTTTATTGAAAAGATAAACCCAATTGACAAACCCTTAAGTAAACTTTTATTTTTAAAAGAGAAGACTCTAAAATCCAAAATGAAAGAGAAAAGATTACAACTCATGCCACAAAAATAAAAGGGATCACAAGAGACTATTATAAAGTTATACGCCAACAAATTGAATAACCTAGAAGAAATGGATAAATTCCTAGAGACATGCAACCTGCCAAGCCTGATTAACAAAGGAAAAGTCTGAACAGACTAATAAGTAAGGAGATCGAATTAGTAATCAAAAACCTCCCAGCAGGCCGGGTGCAGTGGCCCATGCCTGTAATCCCAGCATTTTGGGAGGTCAAGGCAGGCAGTTAACCAGATGGCTTCACAGGTTAATTCTATCAAACGTTTAACAAAGAATTAACATTAGTCCTTCTTAAACTCTTCCTAACATTGAAAAAGAAAGAACACTTTCAAACTCATTTTATCATGCCAGCATTACTCTGATACCAAAGCCAAAGACACTACAAGAAAAGAAAAGGATTGGCCAATACTTCTGATAGATGCAAAAATCCTCAACAAAATACTAGCAAATAAATCCATTATCACAGTAAAAGAATCATATATCATGACCAAGTGGGTCTTATCTCTAGGACACAAAGATCACTTAACATATGCAAATTAATCAATGTGATATACCACATCAACAGAGTGAAGAATAAAAACCACATTATCTCAGTAGATACAGAAAACGCATACAGTCAATTGATTTTCAAAAGGGCGTTAAAACTGTTCATTGGGAAATGAATAGTCTTTTCAACAAATGGTGCTGGTAGAACTGGATATACACATACAAAAACATAAAAATAAAAATGGACCCCTACCTCACACCATATACAAGAATTACTGCAAAATAGATCAAAGACTTAAATGTAAGAGCTAAAACTATACAACTCTTTTTAATTTTGTTTATTTATTTATTTTTGGAGTCTTGCTCTGCTTCCCAGACTGGAGTGTGGTGGTGCAATCATGGCTCATTGGCCAGCCTTATTCCTGGCCTCAAGTGATCATCCCACCTCAGCCTCCTGAATAGCTGGGATCACAGGCTGCACCATCATGCCTAATTTTAGTTTTTGTAGAGATGGGATCTCACTATGTTGCCCAGATTTGTCTTGAACTCCTGGGCTCAAGCAATTCTCCTGCCTCAACCTCCCAAAGTGCTGGGATTACAGGTGCGAGTCACTGCATCTGGGCTATAAAACTTTTAGAAAAAGAAATAGGAGTAAATTCTAATGACCTTGGATTAGGAATGGTTTCTTAACTATGACACCAAAAACACAAATGACCAAAGAAAAAACAAATAGGACTTCATCAAAATAAAAAATTTTGTTGCTTCAAAGCAAACTTTCAAGAAAATGAAAAGACAACTCAGAATGGTACAAAATATTCGCAAATCATATATTTGATAAGGGCCTTCTATCCAGAATATATAAAGAACTCTTACAGTTCAGTGATAAAGAGACAACACAATTTAAAAATGGTCAAAGACATTAACGGGAACAGTAGACACTGTGGACTACTAGAGGGGGAGGGGTTGCGGATGCAATATACCTATGCCACAAAACTGCACGTGTACCCCCTGTATGTAAAACAAAAGTTGAAATTTTAAAAAAATGGTCAAATAATCTGAATAGACATTTCTTCAAAGGAAAAATATACAAATAGCTAATAAGCACATGAAAAGATACTCAACATCATCATTAGTCATTAGGGAAATGCTAATCAAAACCACAGTGAGATACTATTTCACAGCCTTTAAAATTACTAAAGTAAAAAGCATGAGCAATAACAAGTGCTGGAGAGAATGTGGAGAAATTGGGACACTCATACATTGTGAGGAGGGAATGTAAAATAGTACAGATACTGTGGAAAACTGTTAAGCAGTTCCTCAAAAAATTAAACATAAAGTTACCATTTGACCTATTGATTCTACTCCTAGGTATATACTCAAGAGCAATGAAAACATGTGTACACAAAAACTTATATATGGATGTTCATAGCCATATTCTTCACAGTAGCCAAAAGGTGGAAACAAACCAAATGCCCAAATATGGATGAATAGATAAGTAAAATGTGGTACATCCAAACACTGACATATTGTTCAGACGTAAAAAGGAATGAAGTACTGATACATACTACAACATGAATGAACCTTGGAAACATTATTCTAAGTGAAAGAAGCCGGTTTCAAAAGACCACATATTTTATTGCTTCTATTTATGTAAAATGTCCAGAATACACAAATCCACAGAGACAGTAGATTAGTGTCCACCAGGGACTGAGAGGAGAGGTGAGATTGAGAGTACATGTATGAGGTGTCTTTGGGGGATGATGAATATGTTCTGGAATTAACGACAATGGTTGCATAACCGTGAATATACTAAAAGCCACTCAATTGTACACTTTCAGGGTGTGAATTTTATATTATATGAATCATAGCTTAAAAAAAAAAAAAAAACTTGAACAATTGCAAGGTTGGGTTTCTAGGACCTGGAGCCAGAGACGCCTCTTGGAGGAGTGAATCAAGTAGCTCAAGATCAGAGTAGGAGTTGGTAGCCTAGGATAGAATTTTTGAGGGCCAAGGAAGGAAGTTTCTTTTTAATCTTGTGAGCCATGGGCCAAGGAGGACCTTAGGGGGCCAGAAGAGCTTTAAAGTAGATATTCAATACAACTCAGAGGCAGAGGGGTTGCTACGGCCCACTCTCTGAGAGGGCAAATTCTATGGAGACATTACCTAGGAATTACCAGAAGCATTAAGGGTAGAAAGCTGCCGGGCGCGGTGGTTCACGCCTGTAATCCCAGCACTTCGGGAGGCCAAGGCAGGTGGATCACCTGAGGTCAGGAGTTCAAGGCCAGCCTGACCAACATGGAGAAACCCTGTCTCTACTAAAAATACAAAATTAGCCGAGGTGGTGGCGCATGCCTGTAATCCCAGCTACTCGGGAGGCTGAGGCAGGAGAATTGTTTCAACCTGGGAGGCGGAGGTTGCAGTGAGCCGAGATCGTGCCATTGCACTCCAGCCTGGGCAAAAAGAGCGAAACTCCGTCTCAAAAAAAAAGGGTAGAAAGCTTAGGAGCACTGTCAGCCTTCAGGCTAAATTCTAGATTGCTTGGTATAATACATAGGCTTAAGAGAACTGGGAAGCACTTAATCCATATCATCCAAATAACTAAAGCATCTTCTCCTCCAGGAATACCTCTATGTCCTCCTTTCCCTGACTTCCATCCCCTCTTCTGTGCACCTCCAATCTGTATCTCTGCCCTTGCATTAGATTGAAATTTTATTTTGTATTTGTCTTTCCTACTAGGAATAGGAGTACCAAGATGGTCAGGGATGACGTTTTCCTCATCTCATAACCCTAGGACCTAGCACAGGGCCTGAACCTGCCAAGAACTCAGCAAATGCTTGCTGAACCAAGGAAGAACCAAAGAGACTATAGGAATATTTCAAAATTCAGGGAAGAAAGATCTATTGATTATATATATATATACACACACATATAAGAAATATATATATATACACACACATATATATATTTGTTTGTTCATAGCATGGTAACAGGCTCACTATTTGTAATAGTTTGTAACAAACACCTCTATGTTTTGATGTGATGATTTTGTCAAGTAGTTATCAGGCTTCTACTATACTAAAGTCCTTGAAGTCAGAGACTGTCTTACTCATCGTTTTATCCCTTCACGGCATCCAGTACACTGGCCTCTGTGCAATAGATGCTCAGTCATGATTTATTAATTTAAATTTAGTTAAGCAAGTTTAGGACAAGCTGACTTGGAAAACAGCCTCAGATATATTAAGACAAAGTGCTAAAATTGACTTATGAGGGAAGGTGGGGTTTCTGTGTTTGGCACTAAAATTGGTGCAGACCATCTTGTTGTCTGTGGAGACATAATCTAGGAAGTACTAGAAGCATTGATGGTGGAGAACTCCTCAGGAGTTACTTGTCCTGTTGCCTCCAGAAAGCTTCAATACTTGAGTATTTTTATTTTTATTATATTTCTTGATTATTTTGATTAAAGAGACAAACTCCCATCCTTAAATAGATATCTTCAGCAAGAAAGTGTGGGGATCTAGTGAAGTCTTCACTAGCAGCCAACATCCCAGTCCGATATACACAGGGGCATCCATCTCATCATTTATCCCATCTTTTTTCAGAACATGAGAGATATCTGCAAGCCAACAACAAAGAATTCAACAGTATTTTTGTATATCCGGTGAGTGTCTTCCCTCTGGCTGTTTCAGAAGGGGGTCAGTATTCTATAATATTCTTCTTTGTTGGGGGAGCATGAAATTCTTTGTAGATGTAGATCCTATATAACACAGATTCTATTACACTTTCTTTCAAGCTCCTAAACAATGAGTGGTGCAATGAAGGCTCAGAAGCCAAAATTAATCCAGTGACATAAGCTAGGGAGAGAATGTCTCAGATTTCAGGTTTATATGTAACTCCCAGAAAATAAATACTGTAGCTTTTTCTTGCGCAAATGAAAGCATAGTTCTACAATTTTATTTTTTCACTTAGACATTTATCTATGACAATACATATAGATATCCCTCATTTATTTAATAGCGACATTGTTTTTCATTATATTGATAAACCTTGATTTATTTAGTCAGTCTTCTATTGATGAACATTTAAATGTCTCCAGTGTTTTGCTATGCTGAATGGTGCTGAATGAACACCATTATACATATATTTTGGCACATTTGTGTGACTGTATCTTGTGAAAGTTTCCTAAAAGTAAATTGGCTGTGCCAAAAGAAAAACACACTAAAAATTTAAAATTATCAGAGGCCAGATTGCCCCCAAAAAGAATTATATCCATTTATGTTTCTACTTAAAGTAGAGACTGCCCGTTTCTCCACATTCCTATCAAACTCGCTATTATCAATCTTTTTCATCTTTGCCAGCTCTTAGATGAAAATGACATTCATGTTAATTAGCCTTTTGTATTTCTTTTTCTGGAAAGTACCTATTAATGATCTTTGCTCACTTTCTGTTGGATTGTTCATTTTTCACTTATTTATGTATCTATGACTAAGTAATTCATGAAAAGATATATATTGAAAAGGCGTGCTCCAATACCCCATCCTTGTCCATATCTGCTCCCCTGAGGGAAACACTGTTAGTTTTCTTGTGTGTATTAATCAGATTAGTGTCTCTTTGTGCAAATAAAGCAAATACAAATATATAGTCTTATTTTCCTATTTTCACACTATTCTGAACCTTAACACTGTATCCTGGAGATGTTTTCATCATCATAATTTTATAATAGTTTTTTTCTTTTTTTTCCTTCTTCAGCTATAATATATAGTATTTGCTCTGTAGATTTAACATATTTTATTTAATCAGTTCCTTTTAAATGGACTTTTGGGTTGTTTTCAGTCTTCTATGATCACAAGCAATGGTTTTATACATAATATAATTACATGCATGTGTAGCTATGTATACATATACATAGCTATAATTATATAAAAATATATGTTTGTGGTCTCTGTGGGATATTAGTTTATGATTTCTGAGTAAGAGTGGTATATTAGTCCAATCTCACACTGCTATAAATAACTACCTGAGACTGGGTAATGTATGAAGAAAAGAGGTTTAATTGACTCACAGTTCCTCAGACATAACTGGAAGCATAACTGGGAGGCCTCAGGAAACTTTCAATCATGGCAGAAGACAAAGGGGAAGCAAGCACCTTCTTCACGTGGTGGCAGGAAAGACAGAGAGAGAGTGAAGGGGATCCTACACTTTTAAATCATCAGATCTTGTGAGAACACAAGAATAGCATGGGGGAAATCCGCCTCCATGATTCAATCACCCCCTACCAGGTCCCTCCCCAACACTGGGAATTACAATTAAACATGAGATTTGGGTGGGGGACACAGAGCCAAACCGTATCAAATGGTTCTGGATAATAATAGTATCCAAGATATGACCATGAGAGCAGGTTTTTCTCTTCTGTATCTTCTAGACCTACATAACAAGCAGTGGGGACAGTAAATCTAGGTTTGGGCATCAGACAGATCTGAGCTTGAATATAGCTCAGCCTTTACTAACCTTAATATCTTAGGCAAATTTGTTAACTTCTCTGATCTTCAGTTCTTTCATCTGTAAAATGGGCATAATAATGTTCACCTTGCATGGTGGTCATAGGAGTTAAGTATGGTTCTGAAAATGTTAGTTCTGTTTCTCCAATAATTAGCCCTTGGAAAAAGGGTATCTCATTTATCTCTGCATACAGAGTATATCTGTGATACAGTTTCTATCACAATGTTATGCACACAGCCAACATTCAATAAATATATATTGAATATTTAATGAGTGAATGAACAGATTTGACTGATTCTGATATATTTAACACCATTTCATTTCCCTGGCCCTGAGCATTGCTCATTTTCCTGTTTCTCTGCCTTCTTCCACTGTGACTCCTTGTCATCTTCCCAACTCCTAACTACTGATTCTCATTACATCCTTGGCCTTTTATTCTCTTCTGTTTTCCCAGTTAACCTTCAGTCCCATATCACTGCCCAAAGAAAAAAATAACCAAACCAAAATTAACCACCTCTATCATGTTTAAATTTTATCACCTCTGCCAAAAGGACTAAACTCTGAGGAACTTCATAGTTAAGGAGATGTTATTAGGATATTGCTTCTGGTTTTACATTTAAGAGCAAAATGAAACACTCTAGTTGCCAAGTTAGTAAACAAATACCTGTACTTCTATCTTGAGGCAGAATGCTACCTACGTGAGTAGAAACCTGAAATATATTAAATGACTATAAAATCAAATGGAAAATCAACAGTGAAGGCTAGCTACATCAGTAAGGCCACCTCTCAGAAGATCTTTGGGTCCAAGTATCACAGCCATCTGGACTTAGACACTGAGAAATTCAAAGTATCTTATGATCAAAGAAAGCTATTTCCATGTTAGAATTATATACTCGCATGACAAGAAGGGCCCTTAGAGATCATTTCACTAGAACTTTGTTGGAGACAGACCATGAGCTTCTCCAGAAGAGACCCTGTCTAATTATTTTTCAGCCTCCACTAGTATAGTCCAGCATAGGACTGAGAACAGAGCAAGCCTTGAGAAATGCTATAGTGTCTGATTGATTATTATTTAGAAAATCATGGAGAGAACACCAAGGAAATCTTGGTTTTGGCTTGGATCTTTAAACTCCTAAGTGCTAAGTTATTTGACCGCTTCTCCTCCCTGAGGAAACAGACCTTGGGCAATGCTTGACTGGATAGCCTATCTAACTTTCTGGGTAGGAACACAAGATTCAGGTTTTAGTCTTAGCACTGAATGGTTTTCTCTGAGAGAAAGACTTTGATGCCCTCCTAAGGCAAGGCCTAGCAAGAATTCTTCATGCTTGGCCGGGCCTGGTGGCTCAAGCCTGTAATCCCAGCACTTTGGGAGGCCGAGACGGGTGGATCACGAGGTCAGGAGATCGAGACCATCCTGGCTAACACGGTGAAACCCCGTCTCTACTAAAAAATACAAAAAACTAGCCGAGCGAGGTGGCGGGGGCCTGTAGTCCCAGCTACTCGGGAGGCTGAGGCAGGAGAATGGCGTGAACCCGGGAGGCGGAGCTTGCAGTGAGCTGAGATCCGGCCACTACACTCCAGCCTGGGCAACAGAGCGAGACTCCGTCTCAAAAAAAAAAGAATTCTTCATGCTTGAGCGGTATCTGTACTCCAGGCCAGCAGGTAGGTTCTTCTTTTTTAAAAAAAAAACTGTAAGTTCAGGGGCACATGTGCAGGATGTGCAGGATTGTTACATAGGTAAGCCTGTGTCATGGGGATTTTTTGTACAGATTATTTTATCAGTCAGGTATTAAGCCTAGTATCCATTAGTTATTTTTATTCTTTTGTTCTGTCCTTTTAAATGGAAGAGGTAGGAGATAAGCCTTGAACTTAGAGAATTATTTGGTCTTATTCTCCTGCTTTTAGAGCTCTTAGATTTGAGCTCTGACATCTTAGGACAAATGATTTAAGACTCCAAGGTAGAAAGTAAGATGGTCCTGTGAACATCTTGAGATCAGAATCGAGGAAGTAGACAAGTTCCCTTTTTCACTCAGCAAAATAATAGCTTAGATATAAGCCAAAACTCTTTAAATCCTCTTAGGACAATTAAGGGCCAAATGATTCTCCAATGCTGATAGTGACCCCTATCGAAACCTTCAGTGGGCTAGCGTTGAAAGACAGTATTTTGCTTTTAGCATCTGACATCCTTCAACATTGCAAAAAGCACAGAAAGGCACACCAGACTGAGTTTGCCTGGCTAAGGAAAGCTTTGTTAGAGAGCTCTGGATGCAGTACCTCAATTTCCACATCCTCAAAACTACCCCCCTCATAGGGTGGTTGTAAGGAGTAAATGAGTTGCTACATATAAAATGCTAGAAAAGTGCCTTTCACGTAGTAAGTACTCAATAAATGTAAGTTTTTATTGCTGTTGATTTGATTATCATTATTACTATCAATCATATGAATAAACAAGAACTCTATCAGGGCAGAGATATATTCCCCCAAGTATCATATAGAGCAGCCTTGCCTTCTTTCTACCCTCTAGGCCTCTCTAGGCCTCAAGAAAAAGGGGCAAATTAGAGATTCCTTCTCTCTCTCCCTCCCCATGCTGGTGGTTGGAGTCGGGGTGCTTTGGTGGCTTTTTCTCATTTCACTCAGTGGTTTGGTCTTTTTTGTAGGGGAAGGGTAGACTGGGAGGTAGTGGCAACTGCTTATTAACCCAGTTTTGAGCTGTCTTTTGTCTAATTGTGTATTTCTTGTGTGTTTGTTTGTTTACTCACAGAACAATACCATCAAGACCTCAAAATATAGTGTCTTTAATTTCCTGCCTCTGAACCTATTTGAACAGTTCCAGAGACTTGCAAATGCATATTTCCTCATTTTGCTATTTTTACAGGTATTCCTTTTGGGGGCCTTTTTCACAGAGTATTTTACGAATCTCTCTGGGGTCAGGCTGTATCATCAGTTTTTTTCCTCCCTAAACTGGGAAATGTCTTCTGTCTTTAGACAACAGGAACATGGATGACTGGAGTCTCAGACCAGTCCCTTAGAATAGCTGTGGTCAGGATCAGCTAGTGTATAGCAAGCCTCTATACAAGGAAAGGGACAAGGTCACCACATTCTAAGGAAGGGAAGCTCCTCATCATGGCTGCATTGCCACAGTTCAGCATGACCATAGGGGGCTACAGATTCTTCACCCCAACCACAACTCCAACTCTATTCCTCCTTCTTGTCCCAGCCTCCCTGACATAAAATCAACATGTGGGAGTGCTAAAGAAGGTTTAGGATGGTTTAGAATATGAGTGCCAGCATAAGAACAGGAAGCAGGGCAGGGTAGGCCCAAATTGGGAGAGAGGGACAGATCATCTCACTCCTCCTTGTACTGAAGGGTGTGGGATAGCATGTAGTTTTTCTGTACCTACTCTTACCCACTCTCCACACCCATTACTTTTCACTGTCAAAGGAGAAATGACTCTTTGCCATCAACAGAAAGGTTGTGGGGTTCAGTATAGATAGGTAGCAACTTAGAGCCTTTTATTCTTTTCTCCTCCCTTGGGAAATGTTTGCTTATATTTGGGGGGTTATATGAAAGATACAACAGTGGAAAGCAACTAGGATAGTTGGAATTTGTATGAACAAATGGAAGTGAAAATGATGTTGAGGGTGAGGGATATGGTGGCAGGGGGGAATATATTATCCTTTGAGTTTTCTGACCCAAGATTCTCTCCCTTTCCCTCTCTTAGTTGATTCCCCAGATCTCCTCCTTGACATGGTATACAACTATGACACCCCTGATGGTGGTGCTGTCCATAACAGCCGTGAAAGATGCCATCGACGATCTGGTGAAGTGGCTTCCTCGGCCTCTAGTTCCTCACTGCACCTAGTCAGATTGTGGGCATGAAGGGCTTCCCAGAACTACCTAGTGCTAACAAGAAACCCTGAATGGAAAGAGATATTTTCCTTTCTCCTTTCCTTATCCATCCCAGAGTAATATGCAGTACCTTTAGGCCCAAGATTGGTGGTCTATGTATGGCCAGAAAAGGGCAAAACAAGGTCTTTCTCTGTCTTCCTACTACCACCACTTTTAGCCCCTCTCCCAAGCCTCCTTCCATCTTTAATAACCCACTCTTTCTTTACTCCTCTCTTAGTTTTTTCTAGCTTTGTTCTCATCGTTTTTCCTCTGCTCCTCCTCCCACTCTATATTCCCTGTCCCTTCATCCATCTGCCCCTGCTTCATCTCTCCTATTCTTTCTCTTTCTTGTTATGTCTCCACATTTCCTGTCTCCTCTGCAACTCTATTTTCCTTTCCAACTTTCAATTCTATTAAGTGTGCACAGCTAGGAACCCTCTGTCCCGGCCTTGAAAGAGAAACTAGCTGACAGTGAGTGCTGCATGGCTTCCTCTTTGCCTCTTACAGCAGGCCTAGCATAGAGGGGTAAGAGTAAGGACCCAGTACCATGCCTACTAGTGGGATTTGGAAAGCCAGTCCTATAGACCTGCTTGCAGTTTCCCTAAGAGGGTCTTTCTGATTTTGCCAGAATAGATTTTTAGCCTAGTTTGAGAACACCTTGTTTCCTCAGCACTTTATCTCTATAAACCCAGGATTAGCATGTTGTGGTTTACCTTTCAGTCACAACTTTGATGTATAAAAATATAACTTTATTTCTCTATAACTGAACTCAGTTTAGCTTATAACCAAATGCATACCCCATCTTAACTCTCTCCAATGAGAACCAAAAATTAATTTGCCAATTCACTGTAACCCAATTACTTCTGGTTTAGAATTCAGTCTCTTTATGATAAATATCTGGACAATTTTGAATTCTGACAAATTCAGGATTCTCTCTGCCCCACTCCCAGTCCTACCCTTTACTCAGGGAGTAATCTCAACTGGAAGGAAGAGATTTATGTGAATCCTGGCATCAGGACATAGCCTCTATTTGTTTCCCTTCTATTTGGTCTTTAAATATTGGCCTCTTTCCTCAGCCACTATAGAAGCCTTTGTATGTCAGCCATGGTTGGAGGTAAGGTAGGAGTCTGCTTGAGAATACTCAGCTTTCCCCGCACCTACCCAGGCACATGGGATTCTGTAGCCCTGCACATCATTTGAATTGTGTCCTCTGCAGCTTTTGATATGTTATTCTCATTCCCCCAGGTTTTTTGCTTTTGATATTTAAAACCAAGATTTTGCCTCTTTCTTCTCCCTGGATTCTTTTCCTGCCCTCTCTTCCCAGCTTCCCAGAGATAATCAACCTCTTGGCCTGGTTTTAAGGAAAGAAGGGCTTGGGATAGGAGAAAAGGAGAATTACAAAGAAGAGAACTACATTGTGTAATATTTCAAAATGTTAATCTTCTATATGCAGTTTGTTATAGGTCTATTTCCTGAACATTTTCTTGTGTGATTTTAGAAAAGGCATCAAAGTGACAATCGAGTCAACAACCTGCCTGTTCTGCTACTGGTGAATGGCAAGTAAGTTCTTCTAGGGAAGCTAGTTTAGGTAGAATCAGCCCTGAGAAAGGGTTGGGCTTAGTTCAGGACACTGAAAAGAACCTCAGACATAGAAATAATTTGTTTCTAGATCTAGCATGCCCTGAATTTGTCATGTCACCTCAGATAACTGTGTGGGCCTCATTTTTCTTTTCTATAAAATAGAAATAATATTCTCTACCTTAGAGGGTGCTTGTGAAAATAGAAATAAAATAATATATATTAAAGTAATCAATATTTTATGGTATTACTATGCAAGTGATATTATTAGTGTGATAGTTAGCATGGAAACATCTGTCTTTAGAACATTAATGGATTCTGACATGGTTTTTGTCCATTCTACTATAGCCTTTGGTCAGGTCATCTTTTCTGTTAGCAATCCAAACAGAGTATTGAAGTTGGCCCCACTGCTGTAGTGTTTGGTCATAGCTATCTAAAGTGTTGCAGGAATGGAAAAAGGAAGGCATATTCCTATGTAAGGCAAAATATGAAGACTGTCCTACGAGGTACAAAAAGTTACTATAGAAATTAATAAAAAATAAGCAATTATAAGTGGTTAAAGGAATCAAGGAAGACTTTCTGGAAGCGGTGTGGTGTTTGTACTAGGCCTTAAGGGAAGCGGAAGAATTTGACAAGTAGAGACTGTGTGAAAGGAAAAGGGACCAGTGTGAGCAGAAGCATGATTGCAAGAAAGTGCAAACCTGAAGGAGTTCAGGATTGAGGTCCAGCCTTTATTATGGTGGCCTTATCGAACACGCAATAGCTGTAGTATTTATCATATAATTCTATCATCTCAAGAGCCTGGGCAGCTAATCCTGTTGTATATTGTGTCTGCGGATTCTTACTCATGATGGATTGTTTCCTCAAGAGTTTTGACCTGTTGAAATGTCCCATAAGATACCACCAAAAAAGTCAGTTGTAGTTAAAAAGAAAAGAAGGGAAATAGAAATAAAAAGAAAAGAAAAGACAAAACTGAATATATTAAGAATTGCTGACCAAAAGGATTTAGTCAAATCAACTCACCCAAGTAGCTTGAGCACTTGGGTTTTATAAGATTATTGAAGAATTTTTCATAGAGGGATTTTAAGGTGGGATTTAACAGACAAGACCCTGGTTAGACTCTGTAAGCTACCGAGTAACTGATTAGTTTAATATGCAGAGGTGAGGTTGGTTGTTGAAATAGTCTACGTTCCAGAAAACAGCTTTCTTTTTCTAGAACACATGGGTCTAAACAGAGCTGCTATTTTAAACGTTTGTCTGTTTTATAAGTTGTAATTTTTGTCATTTTTCATTTCTCAATAATGTTGTTTACAAACACATCGTTGGTAGAACCTTCTTTAAGGGAATTCTATGTGGCTGGAGGTGAGGTTGTATCCCTTTATAAGGATTTGTGTTTGTTTCTGCCAGTTGACTCAAGGGTATTACCTGCTGATACCTAATTTGAAAGAAGTATAAATTTGAGCCCCATCCAATATGAGGTTACAGATTTTCAGGGAAGAGTCCTCCACTCACTAACGCCCGCAACCCTCCAGACTAAGATAGACAAACTTTCTTGCCAGTGAGCCAATGTTTTTTTAGATCGCTCTTTCACTAATGGTGTTGTCCTTCAAGGGTCCTGACTTTATGAGAAATTCTTAGTTTTAACTCACTGACTCTCAAAATCATAAGGCTTTATCTCTTGTCCCTCTGGTGGGAGAAACTGAAATTCAAATTATTAGATTATTAAAACTGGCAATCCTTCCCCAACCCAGGGCAAGAACAGCTTCAGAACATGCTTACTGTTTTGGATTACAAGATTGAGTATTTTAAATCAGTAAGGAATGTCTTCACCTCTCCCAAATCTGGGACACATGATTGTTATAATGTCCAGGAACAAACTGGTAATAGTTTGGCAGCTCCTTATGTAAGAAATTATAAATTTTTATATCTCCAGAAGAAGCCAGAATGTGACAGCACTTGTTCCTCTTTATGTTTTACTGGTGACAACCATGGAAGATAGAATGCCAGAGTAATAGTGAATGTCAAGTCAAGACAAAATAAACACCCAGACGTCTGTCTCCAAGGCTTGTAGCTACTGCTCTACAGTACTGTCAGAAAAGTATTTAAAAGAAACAGTGGATTTATATAAAAGGACTTTTTTTGGAAAAGTTGGCCCTCCTCAAAGCAGCTGTCTTCTTAGGAAAGGTGTTCTAGGAATACCCATGCCTATGCGTAGCTGGCAAAGTGGTGATGTATGTCATGCCCTGAAGATAACAATCCTGCATTCAGAGACAAAACAGACAGTGTCCTGTAGACTCTTTTTCCCGCTCTTTGGGTGCTTGGTATAATATAACTGTTGCAAGGATATAGCTCATGTTTCCAAAATGCTTGTGGCAATATGTACATTCTTCTTAGTCTTTTCTCAGGGAGGAAGGATTTATGGACCCTGTTTATTTGGGGAAATTGAGGTTGGAAAAAAAAAAAAAAGAGGAGGGCAGCAAACCACTATTATTGTAGAATCTGCTCATACTGCCAGGCTGCCTTTTATGGAAAGTAGGGATGTGAGGATCAAAGATAATCTAATTTTAACATAAGTAGATAAAGGCCAGGCGCAGTGGCTCACACCTGTAATCCCAGCACTTTGGGAGGCCGAGGCAGGCGGATCATGAGGTCAGGAGTTTGAGACCAGCCTGGCCAATATGGTGAAACCTCGTCTCTACTAAAAATACAAAAACTAGCCGGGCGTAGTGACCCAAGCCTGTAGTCCCAGTTATTCGGGAGGCTGAGGCAGAAGAATCGCTTGAACCTGGGAGGCGGAGGGTGCAGTGAGCCGAGATCATGCCACTGTACTCCAGCCTGGGAGACAGAGTGAGACTCTGTCTCAAAACAAAACAAAACAAAACAAAACAAAACAAAAGTAGATAAAATTGATGTGACCTTATGATAGAACACATTTAAGTTATCAAAAAGAATGAGCTACATCTTCTATAAATGCTCTCCAAGATGGACTGTTAAATGAAAAATGCAAAGTGCAGAAAATTATGTATCTGGTGTGTGGCTTTTAAATGTGATTTACATGTGTGTTATATGTGATTACATGGATTGATATTTTCTAGAAATAAATATAAAAATATTATTAACAGTGGCTATCCTTGGGGAGCAAAACTAAAGACTGGTAACAGAGAAGACTTTAATATTTTCCTTTTACACACTTTACCATTGGAATTATTTTACTTTAAAAACCTTTTTTTTTTTTTTTTTTTAAATATTTTTGGCCGGGCGCGGTGGCTCACGCCTGTAATCCCTGCACTTTGGGAGGCCGAGGCGGGCGGATCACGAGGTCAGGAGATCGAGACCATCCTGGATAACACGGTGAAACCCCGTCTCTACTAAAATACAAAAAATTAGCCGGGCACGGTGTCAGGCGCCTGTAGTCCCAGCTACTCGGGAGGCTGAGGCAGGAGAATGGCGCGAACCCGGGAGGCGGAGCTTGCAGTGAGCCGAGATGGTGCCACTGCACTCCAGCCTGGGCGACAGAGTGAAGACTCTGCCTCAAAAAAAAAAAAAAAAAAAAATTTTTTGAGGAAGGGCCTTGCTGTATTGCTCAGGTGGTCTTGAACTGCTGGCCTCAAGCAGTCCTCCCAACTCAGCCTCCCAAAGTGCTAGGATTACAGGAATGAGCCACCACACCTGGCTAAAAAAAAATAAAAATAAAAATAAAATAAATGTATGTGCATGTATGTCTGCAGATATGTTTGTAGGGCTTTAGAACCCTTATAGCCTGAAGTCAAGAGAAATGGGTCCCACTCTTGATTGCAGCAAGGATGCATCACAGACCAGTTTGAGCCTTGTCTTTATTCCTTTCAGCCTTTTTTGGAGGTTGGGGAAATCATCTTGATTGTCAAAGCAGAGCTTTGGGGAAATTCTCAGAGCAGATATTCAAAGGTTATTTTCTTATAGGATGAAGGAGGACAAATGGATGAATGTTCAAGTGGGAGATATAATAAAACTAGAAAATAATCAACCTGTCACGGTGAGTACCTCTTTTGGCTGTGACTTGTTCTTTTTTGGATTGAGTGGGTAACCAGGGACTCTTGGAGCACTTCTGCTACCACTCCTTTTGATGACCTTCGTTGCCTCATTTTGCATCAGAAATCAATAGCTCTTGCAGTAAGAAGCTTGTCCTTGCCTATTTCTCACTTTAGTTACAGGGAAAGTGTGAGTAGCTTTGGGAGAGGGTGTATGATAGCAGTGATAGATCCTAGACAAAGAAAGTAAATCAGTGTCTGTAAAATGCTTAGGGTGAACATCTGTTCCTAAGGTGACTGCTTTTGTCACACTATAATGTTAAGAGCCCACCTTCCTGCTTTCCTGACTTTCTTTGACTTTTCTGACCACAGGCAGATATGCTATTACTCTCTAGCAGTGAGCCATATAGTCTGACATACATAGAGACAGCAGACCTGGATGGGTAAGTGTTCCCTGCTGACGCTCCATTAAGATGATTTAGCCAGCTTAGAGTGGTCTCTCACTGAGGGGTAGCATTAGGCAGGGAATTAATTTTATTCTCAGATGGAATATTGAATATATGAGCCAGAGAGCCTAGAAATATCCAGATAAGAGAGATGGACACCACATCCTTGGGACCCTCAAGTCTAAGACTGAGCTCTTGACAGGAACAATTGAGCATTCACTGGGCACAGAATAGGGCAAATAAACCCCACATTCTCCATCTCTAAATTAGAGACACTCTGGCCATATTCTATAATGCTGAGTAGCGGGAAAGAGGATAACAGAACTGTAACATTTCAGAGTACAGTTTCAAAGTTTCCAAGGGAAAAATTTTGAGTATAAAAGTATCTATTCACTGATAAAATACCATGTTCTATAAAGGATTTAAGGTAGAAATTTATTAACATCCAAAAGCTAAGGTCTTAAGAGGATAGAGCCATCTGCAGAAAGCTTGTCCTGGGAGTTTTGTATTGATCTTCATTCCTACAACTGTACTTCTTGATGCACACAATTTTTTGAAACATGGATTCCATTTTTCTTTTTGTCTATGCATTCCAGCAAGCAGTTACTTAAGAGCCTGTCATGGGCCCCATAAATATTTATGAGGTGTGGAGTATGTTTCCTTGGAGGTATGTGCAAGTTTTTACCAGGATCTGCTCCTTATTCTTTTTTAAAAATTTTAATTTAATTTAAAAAATAGAGACAGGGTCTCACTGTGTTGTCCAGGCTGGCATTGAACTCCTGAGCTCAAGTGATCCTCCCACTTCTGCCTGCCAAAGTGCTAGGATCACAGGCATGAGCGACCATGCCTGGCCAAACTCCTGTTTTTGTTGTTTTTTTTTTTTGAGACGGAGTCTCACTCTGTTGCCCAGGCTGGAGTACAGTGGCGCAATCTTGGCTCACTGCAAGCTCCACCTCCTGGGTTCACGCCATTCTCCTGCCTCAGCCTCCCAAGTAGCTGGGACTACAGGCGCCCACCACCACACCCAGCTAATTTTTTGTATTTTTAGTAGAGATGGGGTTTCATCGTGTTAGCCAGGATGGTCTTGATCTCCTGACTTCGTGATCCGCCCGTCCCAGCCTCCCAAAGTACTGGGATTACAGGCATACTCCTTATTCTTGAAGGGAGCAGATACTATCTCCAGGTTATTTACAATGTTTCTTCAGCCTCTAGAGCACCTGACCAGCTAGATCTCATGAGTTAAGTAGTGGCAGTGTGTTGCAGGGAGTCAGAGGAAAGAGACAGGAGTGAATGGCTAACACTCAGCTTCCTTGAAGAGCCATCTCACCTCAATACTGAGAGAGGAGCAGTGGGATTGACTTTTACAGCTCAGACTCAAAGCCCAGGCTTTACTGGTAACATCTATTTTCTAAAACCCCATGAAAAAGTAGGAGATACTGCACCTGTGCAACAGTTCTGTTTGTGTCCTGTACTCTGGTCACTTGTCTTTTACTCTAGTGAAACCAACCTGAAAGTGAAGCAGGCCATCTCAGTTACCAGTGACATGGAAGATCACCTGGAGCTTCTGTCTGCCTTTAATGGTGAGTTAGGAAATGGGTTTTCCTACCTAAATTTTCATCAGTAGAGGACTGGTTAAATAAAGTATGCTACATCCATAGTGATTTCTATACAACTTATTACAACAATATGCAAGTTGATATTTATTGAAAAATAAAAAATACAACATGTAATTAAAAGAAAAATACAATTTATAAAAGACTGCATGCTGCATATAACATAAACCTGTTTTTGGAAACATGGGTATGTTTATGAGTACTTATATGGAAAAAACATAGAAGGATGTACTTCAAAAGGTAAATAGCACTTTTCTCAAGACATTGAATGAATTTTACTTCCTTCTTTACCATTTTAGTATTACTTAAACACTTACAAAGGGCATATTTACTTTACTAATCAGGAAAAGGTCAAGTTGTTTCCATTTTGAAAAAAATACTAGGTTCGCTTTAAGTCATTTTTGAGTTTCTTCAGATTCGGAGCTCATATGATCTGGCAGTACTGATGTCACCATCATGTGGGGTTTTCTCTCTGTCTGGATGATCCATGTCACATACAGAGTTATTCTTCTTTAGTGCTGAGAAAACCTTTGTCTGCCTTTCTTGAAGGAGCTGGTGAGAAATGCGCAGTAACTGAGAGGCTAGGAAAAAGATGTGTATGTATTTTGAAAGAAGGATTTTATTTCCTCCTTTCTATTAAGTCTCCTTCCATCCTTAGGAAAAGCCTGAGATTACAGATGCAGAACTCTTATACCTTCATTTTTCTGCAGGAGAAGTGAGATGTGAGGCTCCCAATAACAAACTGGACAGATTCTCAGGAATACTGACCTATAAAGGGAAAAACTACTTCCTGGACCATGACAAGCTGCTACTCCGAGGCTGCATCATCAGGAATACAGACTGGTGCTATGGCTTGGTGATCTACACTGGTACGTTTCCCTTGGCCCCCAGACTAAATTCCGTTCATGGCTGAGCTATGGTACTTAGTTTTCAGGATATGGATATGACACTTGGATATATATCAGAACACTATGGCTTTGAGATAGATAGGTGGGTGGGTAGGTGGATGGATGGATGGATGGATGGATGGACGGGAGATTTGTGGGAAAAAAACCTTGTTTCTGAGGGGAAAAAAAGTGACTTCTGTTTCCAAGCAATGAAATTCCAACATATCGGTTCTACCTTTGTTAGAGGAAAGCATTGCGTTCCAAAACCACAGGGCACTCATGAGTCTCTTTGACCAGATCTGGACACAGGAGAGGGTATACATACAGAGGAAGTACAATAGAATTACCACGTGAAGGGGGAGAGTATACATGTGAACTATTCCCATGAAGAGAGGATGGATACAATGCTTATTACAGAGAAAAATATAATGTAAAAAGTTCATGCCAGAGAAAAGTCACATATGGATCATTAATAGTGGCCCCTCTTGAGATGTCATTTAGAACCACAATTCATTATATTTAGTAAGAGATTTTCTTGGATTATGATGTGGTTCAGGAAAATGGAGGAAGCCTCTGTGCTACCCCAGTCCCTCAGTGACAACAACCATAGTAGGAAATATTAAGAAAGATTTACCACAGTGAATATTATTCAACTCAGATTCCCAGAGCTCCCCTTCTAGAGCATCTACTCCTAGACATGAGTCTTCTACACTCCTTGCTTCTGTGAAAACTAATGAGACCAAATCCCTAGGGAGAAGCTTAAGAGTCTAGAGAGGCCCTGGTGGAACTTCTTTCATTGGTTCTTGATTTAGAGTGGCAATGACGAGGCTACCTAATTCCCAAACTCAAAAGACTTAAATTAGACTTATTTTCTTCACTGTATATACTTCAGCAACTACTCACACACAATTGCCACTCATAAAAAGTTCATTTTTCAGCAAAATGTTTTTCTTTCCTGAAAGCAATAACAGTGAGGCTGTCAACCAGCACAAATGTAGTTAAGTTTTCCCAAGGTTGGTTACATTGTAGTATCTTTGGGAAGCTCTGAGCAGAGACTAATGCCACCTAAAAGCATTTTGAGGTATTTGTATGGAATTGAGTTGCTGTTCCTGCTACATGATGTCCAAGTTCTATGATGATTTCTACCTTCTTCCTGAAGCCTGGGGCAAGTCAGTCTAAGGACCCTTAGAAGATATGGTACCTGTAGCTTCCAGGCTGTAAGCCAAACTTCTCATGTCTTGAAGCCCTTTGAGGAATGTTTAAGAGGAAAGAATGGCATAGCTTATGCTCTGCACTCCCACTGTTTGTCCACATATCAGAGATGTCCCAGCTCCCCATGTGTAAACATTGATGAAATTCCTTTATCTGTCCTTTATCAGAACACATGTTGGAATAATGGTCAGATGGCGAAAGGCCAGAAAATTTGCTGCTTACAGTTTCTTCTAAACCTCTTACATTTTCTCTGGAGCCATAGCTCAAGTTAGTAATTTCCAGCTCTAGTCCCATTGGCCATTAAAAGCTCCTTACTTCTGCGTACCATCTGCCCTGTCGTGAAGAAACATGGAATCTCTGTCTCTCAGCTCCAGAGGAGTCTCAGCTCCCCTGCTTCCACCTCAGAAGAAATCACTGCCATTGCCTTTTTGTTTCTTCCATTCCCAGTTAGAAACTTTCAATATAGCCTGAGCCAGCAGTGGGCTTCCTCAAAAGATGATGGGGATCTCTTTATCAGAAAATTCTTTCCCTAAGCTAAATAAACCAGATGGTGATAAGAGAGAAGCTTGCGACTCCTCTTCTAATTTAACTCATCCATGAAAGTTGAGACTGTCTGAGGAGCTACAAAGAGAGGGATCTGCATGAGCGTACTTTAAAGAAGTCATTGGAACTATCCTTAGAAAAAATTTTCCGTTTTTTGAGTTATTGAAAACTGTGAGCCCTTCTCTAGGACTTTATCCTCTAGCATTGGAAAGTGGTTAGGTTAGATTATCATAAAGATACAGTTCAACCAATTCCAAGCCTCTGAGTATGTTCAGTGATTCTAATATCTGATATCTTCCTGTTTTATTTAGGGCCAGACACCAAATTAATGCAGAACAGTGGAAAGTCCACTTTTAAACGAACACAGATAGACCATCTCATGAATGTCCTTGTACTCTGGGTAAGTTAAATACTTTTTTTTTCTTTGTTTCTTTACAAATAGACATACTTCCCTTCCTTTCACAGAAGAAATGGCATTTCCAGTTCAGAATTTAGCTGTTTGAAAGTCTCAAGCAGTCTTAGGATCCCAGAGATTAAGATCTGAGGCAGAAAAGAACAGACAAGTTACAAGAGAGTCTAGCTTATACCTCTGTTAGAAAGAATAGTCACAAAGTATTTAAAAAGATATTATGCTTTGATTAGTGGTACAAGAATGGATCAAGGACCCAGTTTAGAAATTAAGACATATTTTTATTTTCTTATAATCAGTTTTATTCATGACCACTTTAATAAAACCTTACTTAGACTAATAAAACACCTAATTTAAACTGAAGATTTTCAAACTCTTTTCTTAGAGGAGTCTTAAGGTCTGGTGCAGTGGGAATAGGGGAGATCAAGTGGATATTATTCTAGCCTCCTCATTTTGAAGTTCTTGCTTTAAAAAGAACAACTTCATGTTTATCTATTTTATATAATTTCAGTTGTAAAAATAGAGGGTGTTCTATTAAGAAGTGAAATTTTAAAAGCACTACAATATATAACAATCAGCTTTGATAAGACATGTTTAAGTTGAAGACTAATAAATAATTTCTGCTATCTGATATAAGCTGACTTTATTCTTCCTAGATATAGACAGATTAATTTCCTCTCTCAAACAGCTTCTTTGCATAGCTGAACAGTTCCTGTAATGCCTACACTTGATCTCATAACTTTTCAATTTATTTTTACTGTATTGTTTAGACTCTGAAAACTCAAAAAATACCTTTTCTTTGTATATTCTTATCATTAATATTTGAATTATAAACTGCCTTTTCTTCTTTATTATGGGAAACATCCCAGATCCTTTTCAAAATCCTTTGGATCTAGCAAAAGGGATTTTAGAAAATTAGGAAGGTTCGTTCAGCTCAAAAACTAGTATTCATTATACTTCTCTTTCTACTATTGAGTAAGTAGTTTTCAGCAGTTGATCAAAGTTCCATTTCCTAGTTTCTTAATGAGGAAGACAATCATGGTCAAGAATTCAGGAAGGTAACATGGGCAAATATGCTTTTGACAACATTAGCAACATATATCATTAGACAGTAGGCTAGGTCATTTAGCCTAGGCTTGTCTTCAAAACAGGATGTCTTCAAATGGGTGTGATGGCCCACACCTGTAATCCCAGCAGGTTGGGAGGCCGAGACAGGAGGATTGTTCAAGCCCAGAAGTTTGAGAGCAGCCTGGGAAACAGCGAGACCCCATCTCTATAAAAAACAACAACAAAACACAAAAACACAGGTGGAACAAGATGGCTGAATAGAAGTCTTTATTAATCACCCCCCCACACCCCCACAGAAACACCAAATTTAACAACTATCCACATATAAAAGTACCTTCATAAGAAACAAAAATGAGGTGAACAATCACAATACCTGGTTTTAACATCATATCACTGAAAGAAGCATTGAAGACAATCTTGAATTACTGATGCCACCATTCCCCCATCTCCTGGTGGCCATGCATGGTGCAAAGAACTTGTAAGCTTTGGGGAGGGAGAGCACAGCAATTGTGGAACCCTGCATTGAACTCAGTGCTGTTCTGTCATAGCAGAAAGCAAAACCAAGTTGAACTCCACTGACACCCACCCATAGATGGAGCATTTAGACCAACCCTAGCCAGAAGGGAATCGCGCATCCCAGCAGTCAGAACTTCAGTTTTGTCAAGCCTTACCACCTTGGGCGAAAGTGCTCTGGGGTCCTAAATAAGCTTGAAGGCAGTCTAGGCCACAAAGACTACCATTCCTAGGTAAGCCATAATACTTTACTGAACTCAGAGCCAGTAGACATGGGGTGGGGGGGCAGGTGCACACAACCTAGTGAAACACCAGCCAGAGCAGAGAAGGTAATGTTAATGCTACCACTCCCACAACCCCAGGCAGCACAGCTTACAGTAACAAAAGTGACTCCTTTCTTCTGCATGAGGAGATGGAAGAGTAAAGAGGCCTTTGTCTTGCAAATTGGAGACCAGGTCAACCACAGTACCATAGGGCAGTGGACGGAGTCATGAGGCCCCTATTCTAGGCCCTAGCTCCCAGACAGCATATCTAGATATACCCTGGACCAGAAGGGAACCTGCTGTCTTGAAGGGAAGGACCCAGTCCTGGCAGGGTCATCACCTGCTGACTAAAGAGCCCTTGGGCCCTGAAGGACCAGCAGCAGTACCCAGGTAGTACATTATGAGCCTTGGGTGAGACTGTAGGGTGGCAGCATCTAGATGTGCTGGCTTCAGGTGAAACCCAGCACATTCCCAGCCATGGTGATTATGGTGAGAGACTTCTGCTTGGGAAAAGCATAGGGAACGGTAAAAAGGACTTTGTCTTACAGCTTAGGTACCAGCTCAGCCACAGTGGAGTAGAACAGCACGTGGGCCCTTGGTGCCCCTGATTCCAGCCTTGGCTCTTGGATGGCATTTCTGGACCTGCCTTGAGCCAGAGGGTAGCCCACTTCCCTGAAGGGTGAGTCCCAAGACTGACAGTATTCAACACAAGCTGACTAAGCCCTTGGGCCTTAAGTGAACATTGGCAGTAGCCTGGCAGTACCCTCCATAGATCTTTGATGGTGGCCATGGGGACTGGCTCCTCTGCCTGTGGAAATGGGAGGGAAGAGTGGGAAGGACTTTGTCTTATGGTTTGAGGGTCAGGTCAGCCATAGTAGGATAGAATACCAGGTAGACTTCTAAGGTTTTTGACTTCAGTCCCTGGCTCCCAGACTGCATCTCTGGACATGCTGGGGGCTGAGGAAATTCACAGCACTAAAGGAAAGGACATAAGCCTGGCTGGCTTCACCATCTGCTGATTGTGGAACCCTGGGGCTTGAAGTGAACATAGGCAGTAGCCAGGTAGTGGTCACAGCAGGCCTTGGGTGAGACTCAGTGCTGTGCTGACTTCAGGTGTGACTCCAGCACAGTCCCAGTGGTAGTAGCCTCAGAGTTGCTTGTGGCATTCCACACCCAGCTCTAGGTGGCTTGGCACAGAGATAGACTAAATCTGTTAGAGAGAAAAGAAAGAGAACAAGAGTTTCTGCCTGGTAATCCAGAGAATTCTTCCAGATTTATTCAAGACCACCAAGGTGATACTTCTATCAGTCTGCAGCATTACTGGGTTTTGGGTGCCCTGTAATGCAGATATGGCTTAGATCACAACACCCAAGTCCTTTCAAATACCTGTAAAGCCTTCCCAAGGAAGGTAAAAAGAAGACCAGACTACAGAGACTATAAAAACAATTAATATCTATGTCTTCAATGCCCAGACACCAACAAGCATCCACAAGCATCAAGACCATTCAGGAAAACATGACCTCACCAAACAAACTAAATAAGGCACCAGGGACCAATCATGGAGAAACAGATATGTCACCTTTCAGACAGATAATTCAAAATAGCTGTTTTGAGGAAATGCAAAGAAATTCAAGATAACACAAAGAAGGAATTCAGAATTATATCACGTAAATTTAACAAAGAGGCTGAAATAGTTAAAAAGAAACAGAAATTCTAGAGTTGAACAATACAATTGACATATTGAAGAATGCATCAGAGTGTTTTAATAGTAGAATTGATCGAGCAGAAGAAAGAATTAGTGAGTTTGAAGACAGGCTATTTGAAGATAAACAGAGAAGATAAAAGAAAAAAAAATGAAGCCCTCATACAAGATCTAGATAATAGCCTTAAAAGGGCAAATCTGGCTGGGTGCAGTGGCTCATGCCTGTAATCCTAGCACTTTGGGAGGCTGAGGTGGGCAGATCACGAGGTCAAGAGCTCAAGACCGTCCTGGCTAACACGGTGAAACCCCGTCTCTACTAAAAATACAAAAAATTAGCTGGGCATGGTGGCAGGCGCCTGCAGTCCCAGCTACTTGGGAGGCTGAGACAGGAGAATGGCATGAACCTGGGAGGCGGAGCTTGCAGTGAGCGGAGGTTGCACCACTGCACGCCAGCCTGGGTGACAGAGCGAGACTCCATCTCAAAAAGAAAAAAAAAAGGACAAATCTAAGAGGTTTTGGCCTTAAACAGGAGATACAGAAAGAGATATGGGTAGAAAGTTTATTCAAAGGGATAACAGGGAACTTCCCAAACATAGAATATATTAATATCCGAGTATAAGAAGGTTATAGAACACCAAGCAAATTTAACCCAAAAAAGACTACCTCAGGCATTTAATAATCAAACTCCCAAAGGTCAAGGATAAACAAAGGATTCTAAAAGCAGCAAGAGAAAAGCACCAGATAACATACAATGGAGCTCCAATACTCCTGGCAGCTGACTTTTGAGTGGAAACATTACAGCTCAGGAGTGTTATATATAAAGTTTCAGTACTACAAAAGAAATAGCACTCGAATATAAAATTTTCTTTTTGATTCTCAGCAAGGCAAGTTACTTCTATATAGAAGGGTGCGCCCTTACAGATGGAACAATGGTGAGCGCACACTTGGACAAGGGAGGGGAAGGGGTTCTTATCCCTGGCTCACGTGGCCCTTGCTGCTGTGTTGTTCCCCTATTGGCTAGGGTTAGACCGCACAGGCTAAACTAATTCTGATTGCCTAATTTAAAGAGAATGATGGGGTGAGTGCTTTGGCAGGAGTCAGGGCAGAGCAGGTAACAGGAAATTGGAATGAGTTAGGGTGGAGTAGGTGATTGGAATATAGGGTGGAACAGGTGATCAGAATGAGTCAGGGTGGAGTAGGTAATCGAAAAAGTTTGCTTAACGAGGAAGTTTAAAAGTAGAAGGCAAAGAATTGAACATATGAACATATTAATTCTTTGAAAAGAAATTTAGAACTCATATCTAATAATCCCTCCCCTTGTATTTCCTTACAACTTTCTTTTCAAACTTTTTTTTAAAACATGTCTTGGCTTAGTTGTTTCGCTTGATTTTGTAAAAGAAGAAGCTTCTCTGGATAAGGTGGAGGATAGTTAAGGGAGGTTTTAG